AATATAATATACAAGTTTCACTTTTTAAATGGAATTACTGAAATCAATCTACTTTTTCATGATATTCTAATTTTATGACCAGCACCTGTATGTCCAGTGCTTGCCCAGCCGATATGTTGCTGTTGGCTGAGAGAGTTAATGCAAACGTGGTCAAATCTACTTTGGGGTGGCATTCATCTTTCATTCATCCGCTTTCATACCAGATAGGTCTTCCTCACTCTATACTGTTGGGCTTTAAACTCTCCTATTAATCTCTTACTGGATTAGTTGAGTTAACACTTCTAACACTTCACTGCAGAGGTTTATCAAAACACATACAACATGAATGGGGGTAGCTTTACTCTACTACAAAATTCACTTTTATGTTAAACTCCAGTAAGTTTTGCAATTTCTCTTTCTGCAAAATTATGAAAATTTCAACATTATTTTATCAACTTGTTCTCAAAGCATGCATGTCTTTGGCTCTGGATATGCCTCATGTGCCTACTTTTATTACAGATTGTATTGTAAACCAGAAAGGTGAGCGAACAGATTATTATCAAAATATTTTATTCGAATCTTTAAGATGTTTTCATTCATGAACTCAGTCCTGTTGGCTACTGCTGCACTTCTTCAGTTTGTAACTTTTGAAAATCTGAGCCCTACCCTGTGTTTGGGTAAGTTTAAGGCAAACTGGGTAAGCCTGGACCAACATTAAACAGGAGAAAAAAATGCTCTGTAAGCTCAAAAATAAAAGCGTGAAAAAGAGAGGGGATTTATTGAAAAGAAAAGATTGAAAAGAGTTTGTACATAGATAACTAATCAAAAATAAGTTACTGTTTTTTTTCTTTTAAATCAATCAGGAATTGTGCCAAATTACAAAAGATGTACCATTAAAATCTACCACATGCTGAAGATTCGGTTTGACCCTCAGCTTAGGTTACACCTTCAACAAAGCAAAGCTTTGTGCATCTTTTTCACTTCGCAGACATCTGTAAATTCCATTAATCTTTTTCCTTGAAACAGTCCCCTTTTTAACAGCCTCTGTGGGTGTGTATGGTAACCATGAAGCAAAACAGTCAACAAACATAAAGCAGCTGTCTGCTCAAAGAAGAAGGAGGACCCAAACCAGACGAGAGTGTAAACGTTGGACTGTTGACTCTTACAGACACCGCAGACAAGAGACGCTCTGTCCACTGGGCTGTTGCTGGAACATTCCAGCGCTGACCTGTTGCAGTTGTTTCTCTGACAGCAGACAATCATGAAATATATAAATTATCAACAAGGTGAACAAACAGATCCCACTATCCATTTATATTATAATTTTTATATTAAAGTTAGTTTCTGAATCAACTGCATTAACATTTAGGATAAAATATCTCCTGACCTCAGATATCAGAGCAAACTTTGACACATTAATAACAGAAATGTCAGAGCCCTACTATCCTATTTTTCCATACAAACAATACATGAAGATTTACTGTTATCTCAGAGTAATGTTATACTTCATTCCTTCCATAGATGCATGTTTTTCCCACCATTTGGTTCCAGATATTTTCCACTACCATATGTCTCTTTCTTTGACAAAAACACACATAATATGGAAGGCTTCTTGCCCTTCATTGTTAAGCTTAGAGCAGCTGTTAGTTGTTTCACTGCAAATAGATTGAGTATAAAAACATGCTATAAACTTTCCAACTTGGAATCAGTTGGTCAAGAGTATATTTTCAACATTCCCATAGATATTGAGGAATAATTTTTCTTTTTTTCCCCCTGTGATTTATATATAGTTTAATGTATGTTCTCAAGAAAAACAAAAAATCTGTTGAGATAAAATGAACAGATTTTGATGATCAACCTTTTTTTCTTTGATAAAAAAAAAAATACTTGTATGTATAATCTGTTTTATATTCTGGTTATTTAGCAAGGAATTTATCAGACCATAAAGGGACAAATGTGTGCCTTTCTAGCCAATAAATTGTGACAAGTTGAACATGACCATGGATTGATTATAAAGATGCCAACTAAAAAGGAAGTGGCTGCATCAAAACTCAACACTGAGTAAAATCTGTTGCTACCTTCAAGAAAAAATGTAAAAAAAAAAAACAAAAACAAAAAAACTGTGTACTGAAAAAAAATGTTTGGTGGGGTAAAAATCATGCAGTGGGTTTGTTTTTCTACTATGGATACAGTACCATGTCAACCATTAAAGTGAAATAAATAATGAGAGGACTGCTTACAAATCAATTCATCCTTTTCTTTAAATCAGTAATAAGGTGGTTGAAAATTGGTAAAATTTGGTTAATCAAACTGAAAAAAGATCAAAGACACACATTAGAATTTTTTCAGACAGGATAAAGGTAATCTCCTGGAAGATCCGTCTGTTTTTCTGTGATTACAATTTGTTATCAGTGTTTTAAAAAATGTATCAATATCACAAAAACAACAAATTTAGCTAAGAGGAGCAGTCAAATATTTAACCAGAATTATCTCTGAATTATTATTATTATTATTATTTATTTTTATTACACTGTCACAAGTACAGCGCAACGAAATGAACTCTCTGCATTTAGCCCATCGCCTTGGGGAGCAGTGGGCTGCCATTGTGCGGCGCCTGGAGAGCAGTCTGGGGATGAGGGCTTTGGTCAGGGATCCAAAGTGGCAGTCCGTAGAAATGTGTGGGACTTCAACTCAGAACCTCCAAGACCCAAGCTCAATGCTCTAACCACTAGGCACTTCTTAATCAAATAATTAAATCAACCCTATGCTCTAAATGCATGTTTTAAATCATTGAATACGTTGTTGTAAAATTATCGTTGTAGCACCCTAAGTAGAAAATCAAGAAAACAATTAAGCTTATGATAAATGCATGTAAACTTTTTCTGTGGAATCACTACATAATTAATACAACTGCACATTATACACACCATAGTAATCTGCTAGATAATGAAGTGTTAAATGCTTTGATTGTGGCAATCGAAGGTAGACTGTTGCAAATTTAGACATCTGGGTCAAAAATACTAAAGGTATTTAATCTTTTGGTCAAGATAAAGTGTATTAAAGTTCCTTTTTAGCTGTGTAAATAAGGCTCTATGCTGGATTTCACACCCCAGATGCAGGGGGAAACATTTATTAAACTTTTAGGATCAGGTAAAATTACAGTAAACTTTCTTGGTTTTCCAGAGTATAATTCAAACCCAAGAAACCACTAAAGGCTTAAGTTTTGCATGATCGTGACGATGAAAGCTACTTGCTGCCATATTGGTACTCCAATATGGCGCCATAAAAATGCCTATGTGTGTAGCATTTTGCTGCAAAAACAAGCAGTTTGCCAGCTGTCATCGGTTGTACTAACCAAGAAAATACATATATACGCTGATGTATCCTATAGTATAGTATAGTATATAGCGCAACACTAGTTTGGCTATCTCGGACTGACTCAAAGATATTGACTGAGTTAGCCATCGACATTGTGTCTAACTTTAGAAATTAGAAAGTAAATAGAAAATAATTCACAGTGAAATGTCAGTGTGGTAATTCTTTATTGAGTGGATGAAGCTGTCATTTTTGTAGTGTTTATTGCATTTCTCATTTGAAAAAGTGCTGAAATATATTGCATGTTATATTGATGAAAAAAAGCAACTCAAACATTTTAAAAGGCTAATGCACAGCATACAAGTATATGGCATCATGCATGCAGAATATGCAAATAGGAAAATACTATAGCATTAACAGACATACCTACTTGTAATTCAGTCTTGAAATGTAATATGTAATCACCATAATAATGTAATCAGTATATGTCTATTACATGTACATCATCAATTTAGTACTTTTGGCACATCTGTATTATTATGTTCCATCCATCCATTTTCCATCACTCTTATCCCAAGTGGGGTTGCCAAGGGTGCTGGTGCCTATCTCCAGCTGTCTATGGGCAAGAGGCGGGGTACACCCTGGACAGGTCGCCAATCCATCGCTGGGCAACACAGAGACAAACAACCATTCACTCACACCTAAGGAGAATTTAGAGAAGCCAATCAATCAAGTCATGTTTTTGGAATGTGGGAGGAAGCCGGAGTACTCAGAGAGAACTCACACATGCTCAGGAAAAACATCAAAACTCTATGCAGATAAACCCCAGGAAGAGCATCGAACCTGGAACCTTCTTGCTGCAAGACGGCAGTGCTACCCACTGCGCCACTGAGCAGCTCTATTATGCTCCATTAACACATTAATTTTGTTATGATGGATTTTTATAATATGTCATATTACATTAGACTTGACTGACTTCACATTGACTTTGCAATGTGATGTGCCTTTTTTTTATCACAAGTTGAAGTAATCTACTGATGCTATGAAACAGCAAATGTGTGTCCAAGTGATGAATTTATCTTTATTTTAAAAATCTTAAGTACCCCTGAAAATGAGAACATGATCGTTGTTTGATGCTTTAGCGCACGTATTGTTTTCATTAGGCCCTGTTTAACTAGGGAGTACCAACATGGCGGCCGATGGCTTTACTCCACCCAAACATATTTGGTCAAAGCTATAGTTTACTAAGGAGCAATGAACCAACGATGAAAATATTTATGGACCTGCATGCATGAAAGAGCCTTACTTAAATTTTTAGCACTAAGTAGCAATAAAATGATGCAAACAAAAGCATTGAAGTCTTCTTTAAATAAAATTCCCTCACTGATGTTTGTTTCATGATCTTTGCAGCCCAAAAGTAACAGCTTCAAATGCATACTTATGATAAGCGCCTGTAAACTTTTATAAGGCAAAGTTTTACCTTGAACTTCCTTGTTTTTGTTGTTGTTTTTAACATTTTGATATTTCTTAAACTGATTATTTTGCATAAAGTACATGGCAGCCTTGGAAAACTCCAGGTTTATATGTAAAAATATAACACATTGTTTATAACAGAGGTTAAGTCAAATAAAAAAAAATCTCAAATATATACGTTTAACATATTATAAATGCTCTTAAAGCTCTTAGGTACTTTGGAAATAATTATAAAATGAACAAAAACACTTTTTACTCTGTTTATTATATGTCTGTTACATTTCCACATACATTTTGGCAAACATATTCCCTCATAAACATATATAAAGCACAAAATGTGTCATCATTTTAACATGTAAGTCTAAATGGACACATAATTGTCACCTTTTCTTACGATGTTACTAAATAAATTCATTCAGATTTATTTATTTACTGTGCCACAATAAAATTGACTATATACATTTTTTTCTTAATGCAAAAATAATAATCACATTAAACAATGGTCATAATATGCATTAGTTTATTAGTTAATGCATTAGTTTAATAAAAAACAGATTTAAACACCAGATGCGATGTTTTAAGTGTGTTCTACAAATCATTGAAATGTGAGTCACAGCTTTGGGCGGCCTGGATGAAATCTGGTGAGAGGAGGTTGCAGATGGCAGGAAGCTCATGCCCATGAATGAAGTTCCCTCTGCAAAAAACGAGGAAATAGAAGTTTAAGATACATACAGCATGGATGACCTTCATCAATATTTAGAAGAAGGAAGGTCGTCACTATTACCAGTGTGTATAAGTTCATGCACGACCCAACATGTTCTCCAGATGCTCTATCCTCCCTGATATGTCAGCTAGTTTGACCAGTTAAGGGAAGAAGAAAAAGACAATAAAATACATCTCAGCTACAGGACTTGCAGGTCAGTTTATAATAAACCTGCAGCAGACTGTTTAGAGTACAGTCTGCCATGCGGAACAACAGGAAGGATATGTTTGTCTGTCAGTTGCTGGATGGCTGCCTGCGTCTGCTTTTGGAAAGCCAACATGGCTTCACATTTGCAGGGATCCTCCACCACCTCTGCTCTCACCTCTTCACCTGGAGAGAAGAGATTTCACATCAGTGTTACAGCGATAGAGCACAGAAAGTACCACCTATGATGTTTTTTTTTTTTTTTACTATGACCTAAAATTAGAAGGAAAGAGATTTTGAGTAAATCTACTGTTTACTCGACTATTGTCCAACAAAAACTGTTAAAGATTTAAGTCCACCTTTTAAAACTTTTTTTTGGTCTATCAAAAACAAAATAAAAATTCAAATGAAAACATTAAAGTTTGCCGTTGCGACATAAAATGATGACAGATCAAGGATTTTTAATCTTTTTGCATGGCATTATAACTAGGAGTTGGTTGGGATGTGTGAAGCCATGGGCTATTTAACCTTGTGAGCAGCAGTAATATCATCAGAATTACTCATGATAAAGGAAGGCTGGTTAAATTCATGCAGTTTGTTCTTACGTTTCAGGGAACACGTTCTCTTGTCTGCATTCAATACATAACCGTTCCGGCACTTGCAGTAATAGGAGGCGTTGCTGTTGATGCAGATGTGCTCACAGTCATGTCCCATGGCACAGGGGTCCACACCTAGAATAAGCCCAAATTAAAGGTTGGAACTATAAATAGATTTTTAAGAGATGGTCAACAATGTTTCAAGTGTCTTGTGCCGAGATTAGTTAGGTGTTGCTTGAATTTGTAAATTATTTGTACCACATTTCACCCAAGGAAACCTGATGTGTGTTAGACAACAGTTAAAATCACAGAAACACTGACAGAACAGACATGCTACCAGAAAGACAGACGCAGGACAAATAGTAACACCGAGTCAACACATATCATCTCCATACTTGTTTAAACAACTGGTGCCTTTAATGCAGACTCAAATTTAAACTCCAGACCAGGGTTCAGCAACCCTTCTAACAACCTAATAGCCATTTTCACTCTTGGTCCATAAAAGAAAAAAATTGTTTTGAACTACAAGAGCTACATGAAACAAGTTTATCGTTTTTATAATATTAAGTCTTGGGAATTTATTTTGATTACTAAATTGAAGAACGTATTCTGGTGTTTTTATTAAAAACGCAACTTTAAAATCTTATAAATGAAAAATTTACATTCACCTTATTGAGATGCTCAGTTTTGATAAAAATGTAGGTCAAAAAGTAGCCAAAAACTGTAAAATAAAAAAAAATAAAAAAGTATACCTTACCAAATTGACATTTCTTAGACAATGCAAGACAAAATATTTACTACATTAGAGCCTAAGAAAAACTGCCAAATCTAACATTTATTTCTATCCCTTTATTTTAAAAATTCTCAATGAATTTGATATTGAGAGTAAAAGAATTTGAATCCGGCCTGTGGTCCTTTGCCGCATGTCTCTCCCCCTATCTCATGCCCCCTTTCCT